GTCATATTACTACACACACACACACACCACACACACACACACACACACACACACACACACACACAATTCCACATTACGTCGGAAATGAAATTGATAAGCACAATAAGTGAAATGATAAATAAATTTGAAAGAAATTACAACTTTTCCGTCCGGCAACATAATCATCAATTCCTACCGAATAACTGCTCCGTTTCTTCCGGATGGTCACTGATCTATTGGAAAAAGAAGAAATAAAATAATAGGAAAAGAAAAAGGTAGAATGAAAGAGAAAAAAAAAGAAAAAAACAAAATGGAAATTTATTTCAAATTTATTTTCAACAATTTCTGCATGACATTATTCGATTATACTGAATCTTCAAAATTTCCCGTTATTTCGTCTTATTTACTTTTGTAATATTTGAATTAATTGTAAAAATTAATTTTAAGAATTTAATTTTAATGATTTTAAGCATCAAATGAAAGTGATCAAACAATCGTATAAGTTGTTTGATCACTTTCATTAAACTTTTATTTACAAATTTGTGTAAATTCACGTTTTAATTAGTAAATCCTTCTCTTTATCTAATTACATTGAATTTTAGCCAGGTATTTATATCATCCAATTGCTATGTTAAATCAATGAAATGAATTTTCATAAAAAAAAAAAGGGAAGAAGCAGAAAGGAAATTTGTGTATGGTAAAGTAATAAAAGTTAACTAACAATTTCCTGATTATCATTTCTGTAAGCTTTCTGTCATTATCCTTTTCTTTTTTTTTGGTTTAATTTAATTTCACTCCTTTCCTTCCATCTCTATGCTATACTTTTTTTTCGAACTGGATTAGTTTCTCCACTTTGATTATAAATTTTTATCATTTCCAGTTGTTAATTATCATTCTTCACTTTGATTATAAATTTTTATCATTTCCAATTGTTAATTATCATTCTTCACTTTGATTACAAATTTATTATCATTTTCAGTTGTTACTTATCATTCTCAAACATTACGATCAATTTAAGAATGTTAATCATTTTTTTAATTGCATTTTTAATTAAACCATTTGTGAAATAATCGGAAATCTTTGTAACTAAACTTAATTTTACTTAATTTGTTCGTAAGTTATTTGCTTTAGAAGATTAATAATATTATGAACAATGAATATAAGTTGAAAATTTACCAATTACTGTTTTTTGCAAGAATATATGCATTCAATTAATTTTTTTTTTTAGAAATTAAATATGTAAATTTCCCTCCTTCTCCCTCTTTTCTTTTTTCCCTTCCTCTTTCTCTTCTGCTCTTTTTATCACAATTTGTAGCCATTGAAATATTTGGATAAAAAAATGAAAAGGAAAGAGAAAAAAGAAGGAAGAAGGAAAACGTGGTAAAAGTGAAGACAATCAAGCAAATTTCTTCAAGGTTCTGTTCATTTTTATTCAATTCTTCTATTTCAATGAAGAAATTTACAAAAATTTCTTGAAAATTAAAAAGATGAATGCAAAATTAAATACACAAACGAAAAGAGAGAGAGAGAGAAAGAAAGAGAGAAGGATGAGGAATTATGAAGTTAAAGAAAAATGGAAAAGGAAGAAAAATTGCTGAAAATTTTAAAATGAATAATTAATGACATAATAGAGTAATACTGGGGAATATTTTGTTCGTCTGAAATTATTTATTTGTTACTTTCTCCTTAAATATATTAATTTGTTGGATGAGGAGATTATTATTATTATCGCCATTATTATTATTATTATTATTATTATTTATTATTATTATTATTTATTATTATTATTATTATTTATTATTATTATTATTATTATTA